TTTCACGTTGGAAAAATACATTTATTCACATGAGCTTTGATTAAACTCCACAGCGTTACCACGGCGCCCGTCTCCGGATCGGGGCTGTGGACTGAGGCACCTTCACCTTCACCAAACACTTCCATCTGATTCTTAAAAATGTCCTGATGAAGCTTTTGGGGGCGACCGTAAAGACCATTTCAGGAGTTTTTATTCAGGACTTGACACTGACAGTACGCTCCGGAGGGACTGAAGCGACGACGTAGCTCAGGTTGCCACGGTAATAAACGAATAAACTTCTATTACGAGCTTAACTTATCGACTTGTGTTACGGTGTAGATGAGAAAAAGCGATTAAATTATGACTTGTTTGAAAGTTGCTGCTAAAATGGTTAAAAAAAACAAAATCTGACTTGTTTAATTTCTAACCCTGGTTGATTTTAAAGGTGCACTGTGTAACTTTCCAGGTACAGGGTCCGTTACCATGGAGATATTGTTGTTTTGCTGGGAATTTATGATATTAAACTCATCTATTTCCCAGAGAAAAAACGTAACAGTTTACAAGTCCGATTTGTGAAGAGGTGGGCGAACTTTCATATTTTTCAAGATGTTTTTTGTTGTTTTTTTCTAACAATAAAACACTTATAACTAAATAATAAGCGATTTAAAGCCATACTGTGGTACATTCCAGTGAAATCAGGTGCTGGACTCTTATTAGGAAAAATTACTACACGTTTAAACTTTAAAATCTTTGACCAATCGCCAAACAAACCTCCGTCCCTCCGGAGCCTACTATGTGTCACCAACTTTTATGACATTTAGTATAGAAAATAATTTGTTTTGTCAGATTTTGGATTTTTAATGCCGTTGGAATTTCTCATTTTGAATTTTTTTAACTTTGAAAAAACATGTTTGGATATTTTTATACTGAATTTTTGTTGCTGAAAGTAAAAGTGTATATTGTTAAAATAATTCAATAAAATTCAAAATAAAATAAACTTAAATGTTCAGCACAAATATTTTCCAAGTTCTCAAATTCAATTGTTGAAATTCAAAGTGTAAAATTCGCAGAAGCAATCGATTCAAAGTGATCCAATCGAATTTAGTTTTATTTTTTGTATATAAATTGTAAATAGTGTAAAAGTTTGTTCCTTGTGCCTAAATTGTCTCTTTATTTTGGAATTTTTCAGTGTTGATGACGCTACTTCCTGTATTTTTGCTCTTTTCTTTTAATTTTTTTCCACAAACTGCAACTAAACTCATAAAATTAAACTATGAAATAAACATACAAGAACGACAAACTCATCAAACCAAGTCAGAATTAGAAAAACGTGAAAACCAAGTCGTACTTTCAACTGCGAAATGTAAAGTGGACAAACTTAAACTTTTACAAAACAGAACAATTTATGTGATTTTAAAATAATCCGTGTCATTCGTTCATTTGTTTTTCAAAATAAAAGCAAAAATTAGAAAATGAAAAAAATGATTTTCTTCATTATTTGACTCCAAAACCAAAATAAAAAAAAAAAACAGATGATTTGTTTTTTCAGTTTTTGATTTTGTGTTTAAATGAAAAATGGAAAAAAACAGATAACGGACTGAACCAGGACTAAAACTGGACTGAACCAGGACTGAAACCAGGACTGAACCAGGTCTAAACCAGGACTGAACCAGGTCTAAAACAGGTCTAAAACAGGACTTAACCAGATCTAAACCAGGATTAAACCAGAACTAAACCGGGATTAAACCAGGTCTAAAACAGGACTGAACCAGGTCTAAACCAGGTCAACCAGGACTAAACTGATCTCAGTCTTGGTCTGGTCCTGGTCTCAGTCCTAAACCAGGACTAAACCAGGCCTGAGTGTCCAGACGGGCTCGGAGTTGCGCCCACGTAGACCGTCGGGTGATCAGGACTGAGACCAGGACCAAGACCGCGACTGGGAACAGTTTAGTCCTGGTTTAGACCTGGTTTAGTCCCGTTTTAATCCTAGTCCTGGTTCAGTCCGGCGTTGCAGTTTAAGTCACGTAAACAGGAAACGGTCGTTATCCGTTTTTTTCCATTTTTCATTTAAACACAAAATCGAAAACTGAAAAAAACAAATCGTTCTCTTGATTTTGGAGACAAATAATGAAGAAAATCGTTTTTTCATTTCCTTATTTTTGGTTTTATTTTGAAAAACAAACACACAAACGAACGATTCACGGATTTAAAACAATCATCCAAAGTCCCAAACGTAATATTCCACAACGTAATTTATTTTAATATTACATTCCAACATGTTTCCTCATCGCAGAGTCCGATTCACGAACGAACGGCAAAAAAAACAACAACGAGCTGATCACTTTAAACCTGCAAAATAAAGCCTCATATAAAACAAATATTTATTATAAAACGACACATGCCCCTCGAATTTTCTTCTTAAAATAATCTGAGACTGAATGAAACTCAACACTTCCTTCAGTCCGGATTTTGCGAAAGTGTTTGAGGAAAATTAAAAACACAAAAACAGAAGCAGAGATGTTTTTTGATGAGTCGCTTCGTGCTCGGGGTTTGTCTCTCGTCGTCGTCGGTCTGACTCGCAGTCCCGAGGTACGACCGGGTTTTTTTTCCGGGGGGTAAAGTGTCCGGGGTCTCAGGCCTCCTCCTGCTCGGGGAAGTTGAGGATCTTGCGGTGGGCTTGTCTCAGATACTGCTGCTGCTTGAAATAAACTTTAAACGCTCCTTTAATGGCCACGAAGGCGATTCCTCCCTGTGAAAAAGACAAAAAACACGTGGGATTAAATCAGATCTGATGAGAAATAGTTTTGAAAACAGCTCCTATTTATACTTTACTAACTGTTTTTGATTAGTCGATTATTTAAACTCTTATTTCTTCTGTGCGTTGAGATTTTTGTGAATATAAATTTGACCAAATGAAGGTGTAAATGTGTGTCGTCCAGATTCTTTCCTCTTGGGGATGAATAAAACTAATTCAGATTTTGATAATTAACAAATATCAAAATATGATAAAATTTTTTGTAAACAGGTTTTACGCAGGTTCAACAAATCTAATTTAATGTTTTTTAATGCCACAATTCAGTGTTTTTTAATGATATTAATGTCTGGACTTGTCCAACTTGAGCTCTCTGCCCTCTCTCTCTCTCTCTCTGGCTCAGTGTGCTCTCTCTCTACTCTGGTTTGGGCGCCTCTCTCTGCCTGGCCAGGCTCAGGGCTCTCTCTGCTCGCTCTCTCCACCTGGCTCGGGGTGCTCTCTCTCTCTGCCCACTCTCTGCCCACTCTCTGCCCTCTCTGCCCTGCCCACTCTCTGCCCACTCTCTCTCTCTCTCTCTCTCTCTCTCTCTCTCTCTGCCCGACTCAAGGCATAGCTCTCTCTCTCGGTGCACTCTTTCTGCTCAGTTTGAGCGCTCTCTCTGTCCGGCTCGGGCCGCTCTCTCTGCTCTCTCTCTGCCAGGCTTGGGCGCTCTCTCTGCCTAGATCGGGCGCTCTCTCTGCTTTCTCTCTGGTTTATCGAGGTGCTCTCTCTACGCTCGCTCTGCCCAGCTTAGGACACTCTCTCTGCCGAGTTCAGGGTGCTCTCTCTGCCCTCTCTTTGCCCGGCTTGGGGCATAGCTCTCTGTGTTCTCTCTGTCCAGCTCAGCATGCTTACTCTGCCCTCTCTCTGCCTGGGTAGGGGCGCTCTCTCTCTCTCTCTCTCTGGGTAGGGGTGCTCTCTCTCTCTCTCTCTCTCTCTGGGTAGGGGCGCTCTCTCTCTCTCTCTCTCTCTCTCTCTCTCTCTCTCTCTCTCTCTCTCTCTGCTCCTGGACTTGAAGTTAGTTTCTCTAATCAGCAAAAAACCTTGAGACAACCAGCCGCAGATGAGAATAAACAAGCTGCAGTGTTTGTTGTATAAGGCGTATTTACGTAAATGTTTCTTGTAAAATTTCCTTGAATGTTTTCTAATAAATGTTTGCCAGATACAAGAAATATTTTTGCCAATATTTTAATGCTGCATGAAATTAAATGTAAAGCTTTTTAAGACTTTAATTCCAGCAGAATCTATTTAATGACTTAATGTTTTTTAATGTTCCGTGGAAACCCTGAGTAACATTTCTCTAGTGGATGAATAATCAGCGAAGCTCCAGTTCATCGTGTCACATTTCTGCTGGAGACGGAGCAGATGTGCTTTGCCCTGCCAAGAATGTTCCGCAGTATGGCATTAAAATGATCCAGCTTCACGGAGACGAGCGCTGTCTGCATTTAATTACAAAGCGTCTCGGGCTAGTTGCTGTTTACCGTCACGGCAAAACTGGCCCCTGGGAGTCGTGAAAAGAACAACCCCCAGACCCTGTAATCATCACGGAGAATAACGAGGACGAGAACGCTCCAGGTAAACGACGACGACGACCAGGGACTTTAGACGACTGCAAACGGTTTAGAATGAACCAGGTCTGTTTTAAATGGCAACGGTACCTACGCCGCCATGACACCGGGCTCGATATGTCATTGACTTCAGCAGCATCGGAGAAACATGGGCAGGTTTTGTTGTGTATTTGGTTGTTCTAGATCAGGGGTGTTCACACTTTTTCATCATGTGAGCTACTTACAAAATGACCAATTCAAAATGATCGACCTAATACAAAGTCAAGCAAACTGCACTGAAACACTCTGTGCCCCTTTTTTGGACCCTCCCCCACAGTTTGAGAACCTCTTCTTTAAGAGAACTTCCTCTGGCACTTTACACAAAACTGTGAAAAAAGTGAAGGAAGATTTTTAAACCTGTTTTTTTAAAGTTCCAAATTGGAGTTTCATTCTTTTCTGGTTTTGCAGTGATATTTACCAGCCTCTGCACGTTTACCAAACCAAACTCACATCGTGACAAACACAGATGCATTTGTAACTTTTGTTAGACAAACTTCAGCCAAATGTGGCAGTAGGTCTGTTCTGTAGATCCGCTCTATGCTGTAGACCTGCTTTGTGCCAACACTGGAACACAAATTTAGACTGGTTTTTGCTTCACGTTTGGTCTTGCTCTTCTAATCAGCCGCACTGTGGGAGGGGCTTGTGTTGGCTGTACGCAGGAAGGAGCGAGAGCGTGAAAAGGCGAGGGGCGGCGTGCTGACGTGAGGCAGATGGACAGGTAGGATGTTTAGGAAGTTGAACCTGCCCTGTGATGCACGCTGGTACACGAGGGCACACGCTGTCGCAGACGAGCCGTGCATAGGGAGCGTGTGTGTTTGTGATGCGCCGTAGAGTCTCCGCGGGTTTCAAATGAGCGCACAGGCTGCACTGAGACGCCCCACACGCTCCTGCACCCGCTACAAGTTTATTACCAACAGCAGCGGCCGGAATGAAATATGATCAGACCTCGAGTGAGAGACAAGACCGAGTCCAAACGCGAGTCTGAGACGAGACACGGCGATCTACCCACACGACCTTGGCGATCGTATTGAGCACCCCTGTTCTAGACGCTCTGAAAAGGATAAATCGATTCGTTTCTTTACTGTTTCTCTGGAAATGACTCATCAGGAGCTCAAACAAGGGAATTATTGAAAAAAAGACGTGGATTATAGCTAGAGAACGTAAACCGAGAAGAGATTTTATTGACATGAATTCACTTTCTGTTAGGGGTGTGCAAAAATATCAGAATATCGATATATCGTATCGTTCAATGTGATGATACAGTATCGATATCATGGGCTACTGTATCAATATGTCACCAAGAGTATTTTTAGGTGTGTTTTACTAAATTATTTTGTTACAGAGCTACAGTTTTGTTGCTTGTGGAGTGAAAGGAAACTCATTTATGCGACACATTTGACATTTTTACTGTTTTGATGATTAAAATGTTTGTGTTTCATATGAACTTTGCATAAGAAGTGATTTAACAAAGACTTTTAGTGTCACAGCCACGATTTAGCCTTTATTTTTTATTGAACCGTATCGAGTCAATTTGAAATATATCATATCGAATCGAAAGTGCGCTGTATCGAGATATGTATCGTATCGTGGCCTGTGTATCGAGGTATGTATCGTATCGTGGCCTGTGTATCGAGGTCGTATCGTGTGTGTATCGTATGTGTATCCTGTGTATCGAGGTATGTATCGTATCGTGGCCATCGATCGTATCGTGGCCTGTGTATCGAGGTATCGTATCGTATCGTGCCTGTGTATCGAGGTATGTATCGTATCGTGCCTGTGTATCGAGGTATGTATCGTATCGTGTGTATCGTATCGAGGTATTGTATCGTATCGAATGTATCGTATCGTATCCTTGTATCGAGGTATGTATCGTTCTTGGGTCGTAGGTCATTAGTCATTACATTTAATTTAATTATTATTTATGTGTATTCTGATTAATGAATTAACTGATTGATATTTTGAATGTGTTGATTAATTGAACATGAACTATTCACTTGTATGTTGATGCTTACATTTAATTTATTTTGGGATATTTAAGACCCATTCATGTATTTAAATGATATTCATTTGTGGTTTTTTGGCCTTTTAGGTCAGGTTTTTTTTTTCCTATGGACTGATTGAACTCCAGCTTCACAGAAATTCTCAACTCAACTAGAACCCGACTGATGGCGAGTTCACCCAGAACCTGAACTTACATTGACCTGGACTAAAATACCAAATAACTGGACTGTTTTTTATTTTCTATTTTGTTTTTGTTGTTGTTGTGTTCTGTAAAAATTTCTTTTCAATAAACTTCAAATTCCTGTCTGTCTCTTCATTCACACTCAGGCTCCTAAAAGAACAATCTTCTGATGCAGCCTCTGTGGCCGTAGTTTGCCCCTGGTCCAAACACATTTGAGTTACACTATGTCCCATCAAGACACACTCACGTCACTTTCATCAAGGGATTTGATATTTAAATTGTTTCATAGTTTATTTAATGAGAGAAGCACATTTACTGAACTAAAATGTAAAAAGAAAACATTTGCAGTGTGAGTGGCAGTAGAAACTGTGATCTTCCAACACATATAAACATGTCACTCGTCGTAGGACCATGTTTTATTTATTGTCTTGTTTATCCACAACTATGTCTTCTAGAATTAATCACTTTTTGCGAGTGGATCTTTCTAACGTTCACGAGGATCTTTTCATGGTCGATTCTTTCGAGGTTCGGCTCACAGACTCTTCGACTCGTGCTCCATGTTGATCACAGGAGCCCAGTGTGGGTTCGTTGAATCGTAAACTAGTGCAGGTTTTCCTGGATAAATTAATGTCATTTTAGTTCAGTAAATGTGCTTCTTTCATTGGAAATCTCTGCGGTTTATGTTCTCTAGCCATAATTCCCGTCTTTTTTTTTGATAATTCCCTTGTTTGATCCTGATGAGTCATTTCCAGAGGAACAGTGAAGAAACAAATCGTTTTATCTCCTTCAGAGCGTCAAGAACAACTAAATACACAACAAAACCTGCCCATGTTTCTCCGATGTTACTGAAGTCAATGACATAGCGTCAGTGTTGGGGAGTAACAGATTACATGTACCAGAGTTACGTAATCAGAGTACAAATTATGAGTAACTGTATTCAGTTACAGTTACTGTTTCAGTGAGTGGTAATTGGATTACAGTTACTTTGTTGAAATAAATGGATTACACAGAGGTATTTTCCTGTTTTCACATTTTGGGCTATTCTGTTTTTATTTAGTTTTGTTTGGTAATTCCACTCATTGCTCGACACTAAACCTGGTCTAAACCAGATCTAAAACCAGGTCTAAACCAGGTCTAAACCTGGTCTAAACCAGATGTAAAACCAGGTCAAAACCAGGTCTAAACCCAGGTCTAAACCGGGTCTAAAACCAGGTCTAAAACCAGGTCTAAACTAGGATTTAACAGGACTAAATCATGCCGCATGGACAGTGTCTCCTCGTCTTCTATGAATAATATTTTTAATTTGGTTCAGTAAAGTCTTGGGTTTTTTTTATTTTCTTTTATCAGACAAAACTTCTTATGTGAAGATTTCCTCGTCTTTGCTTCTCTACAACAAATCCAAAGTATTCAGATTACATTACTCACTTTAAGTAATTTAATGGATTACGTTACAAACTACATTTTGGGGTGTGTAATCTGTAATCTGTAGGGGATTACATTTTAAAAGTCACCTTCCCAACACTGTATATCGTGCCCGGTGTCATGGCGGCGTCGGTACCGTTGCCATGGGGACACGTGACGGTGCAAAGCCTCTATATATCAGGGTAAATCTGAAAAAGGCCGAGCGTTTGTGTTTGTGCGTTTGTGTTTGTGCGTTTGTGTTTGTGCGTTTGTGTTTGTGCGTTTGTGTTTGTGCGTTTGTGTTTTGTGCGTTTGTGTTTGTGCGTTTGTGTTTGTGTTTGTGCGTTGTGTGTGTTGTTTGTGCGTTTGTGTTGTGCGTTTTGTGTTTGTGCGTTGTGTGTTTGTGCGTTTGTGTTTGTGCGTTAGTGTTTTGTGTTTGTGCGTTTGTGTTTGTGCGTTTGTGCGTTTGTGTTTGTTTTGTGCGTTTGTGTTTGTTTTGTGCGTTTGTGTTTGTGCGTTTGTGTTTGTGCGTTTGTGTTTGTGCGTTTGTGTTTGTGCGTTTGTGTTTGTGCGTTTGTGTTTGTGCGTTTGTGTTTTGTGCGTTTGTGTTTGTGCGTTTGTGTTTTGTGCGTTTGTGTTTGTGCGTTTGTGTTTGTGTGTTTGTGCGTTTGTGCGTTTGTGTTTGTGCGTTTGTGTTTGTGCGTTTGTGTTTGTGTGTTTGTGTTTGTGTGTTTGGTTCGTGGTCTTGTTGTGCGCACCAGGATGGTCCTCTGCAGGTTGGAGTTGACGCTGCTGAACATGAGTTTTCCGACGATGGTGGCGATCGTTGGGAAAACCAGCGCTCCACACAGGATCCTGGTGGCGGAGACGTGATCGGCCAAAGGGGAGGCCTCGGCGGGGATCCTGGGCACGGGACAACCGATACCTGCACACGAGAGAGAGAGAGAGAGAAAAAACCCAGAGGAGATGTGAATATTTCTCGAGCGAAGCGTGTTTGACTCCACAGCTCGTTCTGTAATGTTGTGTAATTCTGTACGAGTGCCAGGGGACATTAGTGCGCTCTGACAGAACACCAGGAGCACCTCTGGGAAAAAACTGTAATGACATAGTTATTTAATGGAATAATTGGCCATTTTGGAGTTTCCTGTGCAGAATTCTCAAGACTCCAGACACGTTATTGCAATACTCCTGCACACAGTGACACAAACGTTCACTTTTTGGCTCAAATTGGCAGAAAAGACAAACATTATGACACTGGTGATGTGATCGTGTTTTTTTTGTGTGTCTGTGGTGTCGGTTCAACATGCCACAAAACCAAAAAAGGCTGAAAAACTCTTGCTGTTGATCAATAATTAATGTGAGAATTAGAGCCTGACCGATATATCGGTTGGTTGCCGATATGGGCAACTGGAAGCATATCGGCGTGTAGCATAGGATAGAAAAAAAGGTGCATATTTGGCTGTAGTTCAGCATAAAATAAATAAACCAGGACTAATCTTGAGCTCGAGAGACGGAGAGAGATAGAGACCGAGTCCCGACACTCAGTCCTGGTTTAGTTCTGGTTTAGTTCTGCTTGCAACGAAACAATCTGAAGAGCCGCTTGGGAGCCAAAAGAGCCAGCTGCTTTTAGTGAGCCGAGCCAAAAGAGCTGGTTCTCTAAAAAGAACTGGAATAAACATCACTAGATGCTAGAATGTGATGCAAAAATGCCATTGGGCCGACCTACTGTCTGTAAATATGACGTTAAGAGTCAGAATAACAGTACATTTTGCCTAAATAATCCCAATTTAAAATCCACTAGAGCCAAACCTAAGTTTTTTAAACGTTTCAAGATTTACAGTGAGTTTTTACATCACTAAATATATTGGCGATTATATCTGGCAGCTCCAACTCCCATTTTATCGGCCACAACAAAATCCATATCGGTCAGGCCCAAGTGAGAATCTTGAGCTCCAAACGGCGCCTTTAACACATCAAAATTATTACTACTAAATACACTTTTTCACCAACTGAATGAATATGAATGAATGAGTAATTTATTTTGCCTTTATTTGGCAATTTCTTCAAATGTACTTGTACAAATTAATCGAAATTGAACCTGTCACACCATCCGTACAATACAAACATACAAACAATATGACATGGGGAAGACTTTGTGGACCGGACCAGGAGACATGGAGCAGATAGAAACAAACACTGCAGCGTAACATGAGGACAGAAGGAGGAGAAATAAAAAAAGAGAACAGCCCCAGACCAGGCCCCTATCGGTGTATAGTATGGTAGAGTACACAAAAAACTGCAGCAGAACTTCCGGAACAAATAAACCAGAGAAAAAAAAAATCTAAACTGAAACAGGCACCGAGACTGTTTTATGACTGATGTTATTTAAAATAAATAAAATATTGGAAACAGAGGTCAAAGAGGCGGCAGAAACTGTGCCGACAAGGTCGGCAAGTTAGTCGCCTCCTCCAAGTAAAAACTGTAAATTCTAGTCATGAAGAACTGGTTAAAAGAATTTGAGAACCAAATTTTCCCAGTTTTGCTGAGCAAGATTTTTGTGAGGAAGGAATTAATTGCCAGCCTCAAATTGCCGCCTGATCTCAAATAAATGCCTGGTCTGTTAAGTGATTGAAACGAATAAACGCCTGGATTAGGGATGGGCATTCGATACATTTTTTTTAATCGATCGTCGGGAGAATTAACAATCGATTATCGATTAATCGTAAACGTTTTTATATTAAAATTATCATCATTATTATTACTATCTGCACTACTAATCTGCAGAAATAAATTCACCTTTACGACATATAAACCGTAACGACTCTAGAGCCACATCAGCCCGTTTGACATTATAATGTGTTTAATTCAGTTTTGTTCAACTCTCACAGAAACAAAACTTAAAACTGCATCACTAATTTGCATAAACTAAGCGAAGAAAAAAACAGCTCTTGTGTCACTGATGCGGTTCAACTTCTGTTGGATTAAAAGACATGACTCAGGTGAATACAGGTTAGTGTGACCAGATTTGCGTTTGTTAAAACCAGGACAGCGTACGGGGGGAGGGAGGTGGAGACTCGTCATCGACATTGAGCGACTCTCACCTGGCAAAACTTTTTAATGTTTTCTATGTCCTGGTGAACTTTTTCCCACTGGACACCGAAACATATGTTCCTGCTGTGTTCACTGTGCACATGGCCTCACACTTGTCCCGACCGGAATGGAAAGCGTGGAATTTCTTACTCGTACAAATCATCGTTAAATACACATTTGTGCTTCGGTACGTTGCAGACTGACCCACTGTTTCTGTCTGCTCGCTCCTTCTGATGCAGAGACACACGTACGGACCCTGTTTGTCCCCAGACACGTACGTTTGGTCACCCTACGCTACGCACAGAAACCTACATTCGATTTGTCAATTAAAAATGAACATAATCGATGAAATTCTTAGTGATTAATGATCTATTAATCGACTAATCATGCTCATCCCTAGCCTGGATATTATTTGGTGTTTTACGGTGTATCATATTGTGATGTGGGAGCTACTGTGTCCAAATAATGCATCTAAGTCTTTGTTTTACTTTCTCAGTATCAAAACACACGGCTCAGGATAAACAAATGTGTAGCTGACCTGGGAATATACTGTTGAGGATCTGCAGCTTGTTGGAGTACTTCCTCCACAGACGGAGCACGTAGTCTTCCCAGCGGATCATCTTTCCCAGAATCAGCATCACTGGGATGGTGGGAAGTCCTATGAGCAGGAACAGAGGGTCTGCTCTCTCCATCACATCCAGGCCCTCCTTATGCCCCACCACCTGCACAAGAGGAGGAAGAGAAGAAGAAGAGGAGGAGGAGTCAGGGGGGAGGGGAAAACTGTCTCTTGCCGCGTCATCTGGGAGTGTGACATAATCGTTTCTTAATCAGTGATACGTGCGGGATTCGGCAGCGTGGTGCAGCCATTTTGGCACATTTCGATCAAACATCTGCTCGCTGGCGTAAAGTGCAGTGGTGATGACATTTATGGCAACGTCAGCTCCCATTTGGCTCTGTGATTTTCCAACCCAGAAGTCAGCAGGATTGTTTCTGATTCTACTTTGTTTTAGATCAATACTGTGACTTAACAGACGACACAATGATCCACGGGTGATTGTAACGATACAGCAACACAAGAACACAAGTGTGATGTTATGTCTTATGCAGTGTTGGAGAGTAACAGATTACATGTACCAGAGTTATGTAATCAGAGTACAAATTATGAGTAACTGTAATTATGAGTTACAGTTACTGTTTCAGTGAGTGGTAACTGGATTACAGTTACTTTGTTGAAATAAATGGATTACACAGCGGTATGTACCTGTTTTTACATTTATTTATTTTTCCCCGTAATTCCACTCATTGCCAGACACTAAACCAGGACTAAACCAGGACTAAACCAGGACTAAACCAGGACTAAACCAGGTCTAAACCAGGTCTAAACCCAGGTCTAAACCAGGTCTAAACCAGGACTAAAACCAGGACTAAAACCAGGACTAAAACCAGGACTAAAACCAGGACTAAACCAGGTCTAAACCAGGTCTAAAAACAGGTCTAAAAAAGGTCTAAACCAGGACTAAACCAGGACTAAAACCAGGTCTAAACCAGGACTAAACCAGGTCTAAAACCAGGTCTAAAACCAGGTCTAAAACCAGGTCTAAACCAGGACTAAACCAGGTCTAAAACCAGGTCTAAAACCAGGTCTAAAACCAGGTCTAAACCAAGTCTAAACCAGGTCTAAACCAGGTCTAAACCAGGACTAAAACCAGGACTAAACCAGGACTAAAACCAGGTCTAAACCAGGTCTAAAACCAGGACTAAAACCAGGACTAAAACCAGGTCTAAACCAGGTCTAAAACCAGGTCTAAAACCAGGTCTAAACTAGGTCTAAACCAGGTCTAAACCAGGACTAAAACCAGATCTAAACCAGACTAAAACAGGATTTAACAGGACTAAATCAGGCTGCATGGACCGTGTCTCCTCGTCTTCTATCAATAATATTTTTTAATACGGTTCAGTAAAGACTCTGCCTTTTTCTTTTCTTTTATCAGACAAAACTTTTTATGTGAAGATTTCCTCGTCTTTGTTTCTCTACAGAAAATCAAGTAATCCAAAGTATTCAGATTACATTTCTCACTTTAAGTAATTTAATGGATTCTGTTACAAACTACATTTTGGTGTATGTAATCTGTAATCTGTAGGGGATTACATTTTAAAAGTCACCTTCCCAACACTGGTTTTATGTTATTTACCGTATTTTTCAGATAAGTCGCACTTTTTTCATGGTTTGGTTGTTTCCTGTGACTTATACTCTTATATTTAAAATTTTCACACTGACAGGGGGCGCTCTAGTCTTGTGTGTGAGTATCTGCTGCTCCTGTTCCTCCTGTACCACTGTCACTTGGCTCTACTGCGCATGTCTCCTGCAGAAAGAGCCTCTGTTCTGTCTGTATCATGTCAGTCGATCGCACCATTACTTCTGTACGACTGAACAATTTAACATTTAAGTGACTTCACTGACACTGAAACCATCCTGTCGGGATTCAAAAAAGTCGGAATAATTCAAAGTGGAACTGATGCTGAGTCTGACGACAGCGACACAGAAGAGGAAGTGACGCTCTGTTTACCTCCGGAGGTCGAGGAGTTGCTCAGAAGTGACACCGAGGATGAAGAATTGAATGGATTTAGTGATTTGGAGTGAGATGGAGAGTTTGGTAAACAGTGTTGCCACAGTTACTTTGAAATAATAATCTTTTTTTTTTTTTTTGCAAACAACAGATTACAACAAATAGGAACCAAACGACATACAAGATACAAGACAGACATGACGATTGAAGATCACATACAAATAGAGACAAAGGTGACGGGGGTTGGTGACAGTGTGAACCTTATATGTGTGTGTACATGTGTGTGTGCATATGAGTGTGTGTGTGTGCATGAGTATGTGTGTGTGCATATGAGTGTGTGTGTGCATATGAGTATGTGTGTGTGTGTGTGCATGAGTAGGTGTGTGTGTGTGCATGAGTATGTGTGTGTGTGTGTGTGCATATGAGTGTGTGTGTGTGCATATGAGTGTGTGTGTGTGCATATGAGTGTGTGTGTGTGTGTGTGCATATGAGTGTGTTGTGTGTGTGTGTGTGTGTGCATATGAGTGTGTGTGGTGTGTGTGTGTGGGGGGGGGGGGGGGGTTAAGTGTGAGTTAAGTGTGTGTTGCAGTTTTGCCTCAGATCCCTACTCCGTGGGAGCAGTCGAGCGACGCCCACGCCCCCCATGGCGAGTGCGGGGGCCACCCCCAGGGCCCCGCACACGACCATTCAAATGTCTCTTATTCAGAAACTAGAGGAACTATTGAAATAAGTAAAGTATCAGAATGTAGGAAAGAGTTACACTCCAACAGGGTCAAGTTAAACCTGTGATATTCTTTCAAGTTGTTGACAAAAAATTTTAAAACTCATGTCGGTAACAGAGGGAATGAAATATGCAGCACTTTTTGGGCAATAAATCCAAACAGTGATAACTCTTGGTTCTCACTTACATATCCTTAACAAACTGGTTTGAATATTTGCTTCATATAGTTTTCTACCATATGGTACAAGATTAGGTTGAAAAACCTCTTACTTTTTGAGTAATGAGATTTTTTATTAAGAAAGGTCATGGTAACAGGGAAAAGTAACGGAGGGAAAATTGTGCAAACAAGTAGAAGGTGCAGGATTTTACATAATTTGTCAACATTTTTCTTCCGAATACTTTAATATTACTTCAAAGTGAAAGGAAACTATTTCTATAAAATATGTCAGTCCTTCCAAGCAAATTTTTATCATTTTAAATACATAAAAATAAGTACCTTCATCAACAGTTCAAAGATGGAATAACACAAGATATGATGAAATACATCCATTTATTTACATGATTTGCAGGTCTGTGAAATTTGGGAAATAATTTTTGTTCCATGTTTCATACATGGTCTGTTTAAAACATATGGAACTTTAGAACCAAAAATGGTACAGAAAAAAGGTTTCATAAACTAGAGTACATATGTATCTGTTCAATACATTTTTATATCAGATGCATTAACTTGAATTTTTGGCCTTGTTGTTTACTTCTGCTTGACCTTAGATAAGTCACTTAAATCTGAACACTGGTTTGGAAACAGCACTGTGTTAGACGACTCATTACTGAAAAAAGTAATCGGACTACAATAACGCGTTACTAAGGAGCGCGTTAGTGGCATCACTGTTGGTAAACTTGTTCTGTTCTGTTGTTTATGTTATAGTTTATCTGAAGAACTGTTCATATGTGACGTTAACAGTCTGTTGTTCTCTCTTCTGTTGTTTTTACTAGAACTTGACTTTCAACAGGAAATGTCGGTTCCCGGTCTCTGATTTTATAGAATAAATTTCCCCCAAAAAGAGCGACTTATATATGTTTTTTTCTTCCTCATTACACATTTTTTGGCTGGTGCGACTTGTACTCCAGAGCGAATTATAGTCAAAAAAATACGGTACTGCTTTTTATAAAGAAATGTGTGAGAAAATGTGAGAGTGTGAATGAAACAAAACACAACTCCACGTCTATTTTTGAGGAGGGAACAACATTATAACACGACTTAAACCTCACAAGAGTCAGTTTTGTGTAATATTAAGAATAATTCAGCATTACATTTGTTTTTGGTAAAAGCTTATTTGATTTGAACATGGATGGAGAGTTTGTTAAACTTGTTCTTTTCTGTTGTTTATGTTATATTTATCTGAAGAACTGTTCATATGTGACGTTAACAGTCTGTTGTTCTCTGTTCCTATTGTTCTTACTACAACTTGACTTTTAAGATGAAATGTTGGTTCTTGGTCTCTGATTTTAGAGAATAAATTTCCTCCAAAAAGTGCGACGTATATGTTTTTTTCTTCTTCATTATGCATTCTTTGGCTGGTGTGACTTATAGTCTGGAAAATACGGTACTGATGCTCTATAAATTTGCACTTTAAGATTTTAGTAACACATAAAATCTAAATTACTTTAATGGTCCTACATTAAGCAAAACTTGACTCCTGGGAGCTTTAGGCCATGTTGTAATGCTGTTACTTCAACAAAAAGTTCTAGGTCTCCAAAGTTCAACATGTTCTCTTTCACCTTGAGATGTTACGAAGTGGTTTTCACATGAGCTGTTCCTTTTCCCTTTAGTTCAGCAGAGATTGGCAATTCCAGGGCTGAAATGATCCAAATGATTTCCAATGATCCAACTATCAACCACGCCAACAGAGTAATTAACGTCATATCTTGGGATTTTAACCAACTAAGAGGTGCAGCATGTGCAGTTTAAACAACACAAGTGAGTGAGTGTTTGATGGCCTGAAATGAACCGTTTGTTTTTCCTGCATCCACTAAGACGATGTAAGACTGTGGATATTTCTATGTTATTAGGTTCTTTTTTCAGGCCAAGAGTTTGTTTTCATACCTGACAGTTTCGACTGCTCCCTGCGGTTTTCCTCAGAGTCACGTGATGTTGCCGTGACGTGTCTGCTCAGCTGATTTACACGGGTTTCTGAGGAAGTCGGACTGCAGGTGGCGCTGTCGTCCTGCCTCCACCGGTAGGAAGACGGCGCCAAAACCTGTTTAAATCAGCTGAGCGACACGACACGACACGACACAGCAACATCACGTGACTCTGAGCAGGCCTGTAACCATAACAGATTTTGCTGGACGATTAATTGACCAAGAATTTATTGCGATAAACAATAATGTTGACAATTTGAGACCAATTTCAACTAATATAATGACCATGGAATAAAAATGCAAATACACCCTTTCGAAGATCAATACACTTTACTCTCTAAAGAACATTTAACACAGGAACCGTAAGACAAACAAAAACAACAGGCTTAAATAAAACTGACTTATTAACATAGGACTAGTCTAATGTGTCTGACTCACAGCGAGGACTTGTTCACAAAAATGCACTTGAATAAACCATTCTTGAACCAAACACAACCAAAGCAATAAATAAAATGGATTATTAAGTCTCTGTAACAAAATTGTCCTTAAAAGTGATTCTAGTCATTGTCTTACATTGGAATATTGTGGTCACTCTCTCTGCGGCTGCTGCTGTGGCCTCGACATTTTGGTCCTGAAGTGTTTGTTTTAACTGAGGACACAGGATCGTGTTTCACTATGAGGGAGCCTCTGTCCTGTCTGGTGTCGTGTCAGTGTCTTGTGAGATTTCAGTGGATTTCAGGTTCTCCCGGGGGCGGGGCTAGTTGTGTCGATCGGGTTTGGGTTTATATCGGCTGTTGGGGTTTGAGACATTTCTTCTCGTCATTTGACGCTCGCTGCATTTGACGCATGAGACTGTTGAGACGTGTAACACTCACCAGTGTTGATTCGGCATCATGACTTGTTTTGTCACACGGCGATGAACTGTTTTGGTTCTGAAAGCGGCGCTTGTGTTGCGGCTTCATGTTTAGCCGCACAGACAACGACGCTAAACACAGCCCACGTTGGTTCAATTGTCATTCATGCAGTAGTTCAGTTGGTGGAGCATTCACCCACTGACCTGAAGGTTGGCGGTTTGAATCCAGCTCTTGACATAAACATCACAGGTTGAGTGGTCAGATCCACTCACCCACAGGTTGGCTGGTGTGATTCCAGCTCCCACAGATGAATGCTGCCGTTGTGTCCTTGGGCAAGACACTTAACCCACCTTGCCCACAGTGTCTGTGTACACTGGTGTGTGAATGGGTGAGTGGTTCCTTGTTGTAAACGCTTTGAGTGCCTTGAAGGTGGAAAAGTGCTATAGAAAAATGTGACCATTTACCATTACACTTGTTAAACGAGGAGTCAGAGAGCGACAGAAACCTTCTAACATTCAGTCTCTTTGAGAGTGATCGAGAGAGAGAAAAACAAACAAGCTGCAAATAGAATTTATCGCAGCCGGAAAAGTTATCGAGCTCGTTAAATGTTATCGTACGATTAATTGATTTATTGATTATCGTTACTGGCCTACGAGTGAGCAGTCGAAACTGACAGGTATGAAAACAAACTCTTGGTCTGAAAAAAAGAACCTAATAACATAAATTATCAGGAGACCAAATGAACCTCACTGGACTATGTGAACATTTGAGATGCTACAGTTTTTTTTTTCCACTTTATGTCTCAGCAAATGTGACAGAAAACCTTCTAGAGGAAACACTTTGAGGGACTGAGCCACTACGTCACTAACAGAAACACCAGAAAGAACGAGGCCTTTCCCGTTCTGTTCACCTGGCGCCCCCTGGAGGCTGCTGTGATGCTATAAGATGCAGAGGAGGGACACTTTTGGCTCTTCCACGGGATCTGCTGACCCTCCCTGACCAGTCCTCCTGTCAAACTGACCTGAGACCTTTGGCAGAAACACAAAGACACCGAGACGCGCAGTGGAAACGTCGCTGCAGCAAAACTTGAATTTTCCTCGAGATCAATAAAGTATCTCTGTCTCATGATTCTACTGAAGGTGTATGGAGTTTAAAAACACAGTGGAGCACTTCACATGACATCACAAGGTGGAACACAGTGTTTTTTTCAGTCTGAGAGAAGAACTCAGCCTAAATACGCAGAATTTGTGTTAATACTGAAGATGGATTCAGATCAGGGACATTTTTTTCTGCAGACACACTTTTATTCTGTTGCTGCTGCATTATTTTAAAAGAAAATGTCTCTAAAAACATTTTCACAACATGACGCAGCGACACCTAAAACAAAACACAAGGTCGCTTATTTCCACAGAGGCACAAAACCAATCGTCTGTGCTTTTCCAATTTTATAAAACATTCACTCCGCTGGTTTCTATTTGGGCCCAAACAAAACCACCATTTTGTTTTTCCCTTATTGTTGCTCGCACTGAAAACAACTTTTTATTTTTTTTGCCAACTAATATTTCACTATTAACAGTTCATAAATAATCTACCATTAATATTTTGAGTAGGGTTTCAAAATCAAAAACTGGGACTCCCCCGGTTTGTCGTGCTTGGTAAGAATAAAATTGTGAAACTTGTGTAATTTAGGAAAACTTTTCTTCACTCGGCACATTCATGACAAACACGTGAGTCAGTATAGTCACATTTTCTTAGATTATTGGTCATTTTTAAGCAGCTTTTCTGTATTTTACCTAAACAAATGACAGTTCATGCTTCTTTTTACTGTTGGCAAGCATCAGATTGGTCAAAAATAGAAACATCTTGGATATTTCTTGTATAAAACTGCAACAAATCAGTGGTTTTGGATAAATCTACTGGGACAGGGGACACAGGGCAAAACTGGGACTGTCCCGGATAAATAGGGACACCTGATCACACAAATTTTGAGGCCAAATTTGACCAGACAAAAGTTTGAATATTGGTTTTAGATTATACTCTCACTGTGGTGTTTTTATTGTGTTGTCATAATGTTTCTACACTAAGGACAACTCAATACAGACTCTGATACCACGATGATAATAAAAAACACTTTGTTTAGACAATAGAATGTGATTTTCAACATTAGATCATAGTACTTTGTTTTCTATTCCCATGTGGCCTTATATCTGTCTTAAAACTATTCAGTACTTTTTTTAGTATTGATACTTGTTCAAATGAGTGTCTGGACAAAACATTAAAAGGCTCTAAAACAATTTAGACATTTAAAAAAAATGTGTAAGATCACAATTACACGGAAATATACAGAAATACTATAAATCATGTATCTTACCTTAAAGAATTTACAGATTAACCATCAACTGGTATATGTGTATTTATACAGGTATGAATATGAATGTGTACATGGATTAGACCAGTGGTGCTCACACTTTTTCAGCATGTGAGCTACTTATAAAATGACCAATTCAAAATGATCTACCTAATACAAAGCCAAGCAAACTGCACTGAAACACTCTGTGCCCCTTTTTTGGACCCTCCCCCACAGTTTGAGAACCTCTTCTTTAAGAGAACTTCCTCTGGCACTTTACACAAAACTGTGAAAAAAGTGAAGGAAGATTTTTAAACCTGTTTTTTAAAGTTCCAAACTGGAGTTGCATTCTTTTCTGGTTTTGCAGTGATATTTACCAGCCTCTGCACGTTTACCAAACCAAACGCACATCGTGACAAACACAGATGCATTTGTCACTTTTGTTAGACAAACTTCAGCCAAATGTGGCAGTAGGTCTGTTCTGTAGATCCGCTCTATGCTGTAGACCTGCTTTGTGCCAACACTGGAACACAAATTTAGACTGGTTTTTGCTTCACGTTTGGTCTTGCTCTTCTAATCAGCCGCACTGTGGGAGGGGCTTGTGTTCGCTGTACGCAGGAAGGAGCGAGAGCGTGAAAAGGCGAGGGGCGGCGTGCTGACGTGAGGCAGGTGGACAGGTAGGATGTTTAGGAAGTTGAACCTGCCCTGTGATGCACGCTGGTACACGAGGGCACACGCTGTCGCAGACGAGCCGTGCGTAGGGAGCGTGTGTGTTTGTGATGCGCCGTAGAGTCTCCGCGGGTTTCAAATGAGCGCACAGGCTGCACTGAGACCCCCACACGCTCCTGCACCCGCTACAAGTTTATTACCAACAGCAGCGGCCGGAATGAAATATGATCACACTTGTTGAGTGTCAGACCTCGAGTGAGAGACAAGATCGAGTCCGAGACGAGACACGGCGATCTACCCACACGACCTTGGCAATCGACTGGTAGATCAGGATCGACGTATTGAGCACCCCTGGATTAGAGTGTGCGACTTTTAGTCCAGTGCGACTTATGTGTGTTTTTTTTCTTCTTCATTATGCATTTTTTTGTCTGGTGCGACTTATAGTCCAGAAAATACAGTAGATATTCTTGTCTTCTTTCCTTTTATGAGTTTCGTTTCTTTTCTCTATAAATAGTTCTGCCGTCTTGTATCCTGTTCTATATGTTAATAGGGTTTGGCAAAATAAGTGTTAAAACTTCAGTCCTTTCGGTCTGTATAATAACTTTAGTTCTATGCATAATTTCTGGGTTAAATCCTTATACGATTAATGATGTTAAATGACTGAAGAAAAATAAACTAAATATCTGTCACACACAGCTGTTACCTGCATGACCGTGACGGCTCCGTAGGTGACCGCGGTCCAGTAAATAGACCCGACCATGATCCCGGCGGCGGCGAACGGTCCGGCCTTCGAGATGAGTCTGTCTGCCAGGTCCAGCACGTACACCACCGGGCCTGAAGGGGGCAGAGTTTAAAAGTTCAAAGTAAGAAATTCAACAACATTTAAAATTCAAAATCTGACAGAACAGATTTTCTTCTACGAGCAGAGAGCTACACTTAACGGCTGAAGGAGGATGCATCAATCTTGGCTTTAGTGGGATATTTAACAGCATTTTAAAACATCATCGGAATAAATACAGGTTTTAGAGAAAGCAGAGAAAGGAGTTTGGATGTGTTCTGATTTGACAACGCAAATGTTCCAAGACGACTACTGTAGTGTCCTGAAAAACTGGAATTTGTAAGTCTAAAAATGAGCCACTTTTCCCCTCTGAGCTTAAAAAATACTAAAATAACTGTTAAAAAAAGAGTACTACTACTTCTTTTATCCCGTATTGCTGCTTTATAAACCCAAACGCTGCAACAAACTTCACTTTTGCAACATTTTGAGTCAAAATAGAGTCAGGGAAATGGGAGTTTAATGCCGCTTTCCGGTCGAGCCCATCGCTTTTTGACAGAGCGCGAGACCTATTTTTAAGAACAGCTCTGCATCCTCCCTCTCCTCTTCCTCCTCTCCTCCACTCCAGGGAAATCACGCCATATTTACCGAGGGCACCCGCTCTCTGCCCCTGGTTCTGGGTTATTTATAGCTCTGTGGGTAAGCGTGAGGAGACGGGGGAGAGGGTGGGGCGCCGGAGAGATGGTCTGAAGATACGGAGGAGCTCTGTAAAATATAAAAATCGGTCAGACGTGTTTGAGTTGTTGCCGTCTTGGGGGCCAAACTATTACCTCAGCGTAATGACATTGAAATTAAATTTGCTTTTACCATGTTTTGATATAACCTTCGAGACATCATAAACCGACCGTAATATTGTATAAAACTGCACAAACTCACAGTCGAATCGAACATGTTTGCGTTTGCTGTTTGAGGCCCAATTATTAAGATAATGGCATGTTTTCTGCTAAGTTGTTGTCAAAAGTATCAAAGATACTAACTGATGCCAAAACCAGTACTGAAAGTGGATATTAATTTGAGCAAATATCGATATTAAAAAAAGTCACATTAACGGGACGGAAATGAAGCTTTCCTGAATATTTTAGAATGATTTTGGGCTGTATTAGAACAAGTATAAGAGAACTGGCTCTACTGGATTTTATATTAGGTTTATTTAGGTGACATTTATTGTTATTCTGCGTATTTACATCATATTTATTTATGGGATTTTTACATGATATTCTTGCCAGTAAAAGTAGTAAGTAAACTATCACCATCAGTCTTTAGTGGTAAATGCATGTGCGCCGTGGTAATTACATGTGTAAATGCTGATCATTCACACATCTATTCACAGCTCCTTTACATATCAATGCAGGTCCAGTAACATGTACACAGCCACTACAGTCACTTTACACTAACACTAACCCTAATGTAAGAGAAAACAGACTGTTTATGTGTGGTAGTTTACAGAAGCTAAGCTCTAACTAATCAAAAATAATGAAAAGTAGCTTCAAAACCCACACATTTGCAACACTCACCGCTCACACAGGCTCCTCTCAGATCACAAGACTTTACAAATAAGTGTCTTTTCATTCCTGACTCAACAAGATCGTGCATAAATATAATATAATCCAGTATGTTGACAGCTGTGCATGTATACAAGCGCATGAGAATCACGTGACTCTGGAGGTGCATTCAGGGGCAGTAAGGCATCACAGACACAGATAAATTATTGCAGATAAATATTAATGCGGCGCCACATTTTAGGACATTTATCTGTCTGTAAATTGGATTAAATGGATGCAATATAGAGAGTCTAAGCTTTAGAATGAGGTATAGCATGCCCACATTGACTATCGGCTCATATTGGCAATATTTAGGCCAAGGAGCTGAATTCCATGTTTGTAATTCTGACGCCGCACAACCAAACAGCCAATCAGGAGTGAGTGTGTTGAAGGTAACACCTCTTCACACCTGGTCACACCTGGTTGGGACTTGGAGAAAACCGACCTCCACCTCGAGAAAGTGTAATGGACCGGCCGTTGAAATCACGGTTCCAAAACACACATACATAACATGTCTCCAAGTGCCCATATCGGCTGATAATACAGGTCAACCGATATATCGTTAAGACCCAAATGTTGATAATCACATTCTATTGTTTACTGAAATGTTTTTTTTATTATCATTGTGGTATTAAAATCAGTATTAAGCATCAAGTCTATTCCTTAGTATCAAAAATCGGGTTTGAAATTTTAGTATCATGACAACACTACTGCAAAGAACAAAATATTCAGTCTTTTTACAGAAAATTTTGTTGCATAATCAGTTACTTTCAATTAGGGCTGTGTTAAAAATCAAAAGATCGATAGATTGCGATCTCTACTTCGGTCGATTTCGATGATAAGGCATGTACATTTTAATCGACAGGTCCACAGTCTATAACAAAAACAATGCATCAGTTTTATATAGCACTTTTTTGGACACTCAAAGACACTCCACATCGTGTAACAGTAAGAGTGCGTGGTGCTGACGAGGATTTACACTTTGGTTTAGTTTTGAAAATTAGTCTGAGCCATAGTGTGCATCTTTAGGTCTCTTCCGTGTTCACAAGTTTTGATTTAAATCTGCACAATTTCACTAAAAGTCTCCGTTTCCCTTCCCGCTCTCTGATCCAGCCACAGCTCCTCACCTTTTCTCCTCTTTCTCTCCTCCGTTGCTTCTTTTCACTATAATCCAAGTTACGGAAAGTACACGACTATTTTCTCGCCGTTTACAAGCTCAACTCAAGACCTCATTTAGACATCGCATGTGTTTCTGTTAACGGTAACGCACGCACGCTATTAGGCTTAATATACTGCACAAACGCTTTCCAAACTTTCCATGTGGATTTCTCCGTAATCATCAGTCCTGTCAACACCAATTAAAAACCAGTGATCCTGACACTCTGACGCTCTTTATGACTGTCTGTATATGTTTTCAATCAGATAGAAGAAGATCGAATCGAAAATTGAGATTGATCAATATGGGAAAATAAAAATCGTGATACACAGAATATATGGCTCTTCACTGATTGGCTGGTGCCCAAACTCGCACTTCCGGGGTTTTTATGAACCAGTTAATTCTGATTCCTGACCTAGTCGCTGGAGAGAAATGAAATTAAGCGGAGGCACTAGGTGGCGCCAGTTCAGCAATATATCGCACTTTAAAATGTGTTATTGTGACAGGTTTACAACGAGAAACAAAGTCAAATTTTGTTTCGAAAATATAGTCCAAGTTATTTTAGACAAAGGGAGGTCACCATAGTCTCCTATTTGAATGTAAAACGCTGAATGAAGCCTATTAAAAAAATTTCCATGTAATATTTATAAAAATGTAGACATTTTTGGTTTTGGTTGGTTCATTTTTTTTTCATTCAAAATAATTAAGGCTGGCTACTGATACAAAGTTTTAAATATTCAATTTATATGTAGATATGGAAGGGATATCTCCTCTGAGCTCTGACATTTTGTAAAACCCTGTCCACGTCTGGAGCGATGACTCAGAGATGACCCATAATCCTTTGCCGTGGCGTGTCCTGATTGTCTCCAGCACAAAGATGGCCGCCTGGTGAGGTTTGCGTCGTCATGGTGACTCGGCGGCTGCTCTAGCGTCCCACAGACCCAGGTGGACATGAGACGGACGAGATGGGATCATAAATGTCACCGGGCCCGGGTGATAGAAGAGCCTTTGAAATGAACTGACCTTTTGGATTCTGTTTGATCATAAAGACGAGCAGCGCGGACGAGATCCTTTATTAGGCCGCCACGATTTTGGAAAAGAAAGCTTAAGGCTATTTTTCTGACAAGTGCTGCGACTGCGATGAGAAAAGGTGGGAAAAGGTAAGATTCTGTTCAGAGCGCACGTTGTAAACTCCAGCAGTATGAACTTTCTGAGAGAAGACTGAAATTCTACACTTGGCCAAAAAAGAAATGCAAGTTGTTGTTATTAATATGGTGATTGAAAATTGCCTCTAACTGTACGTGTTGGGCCTATTACTGTAATCAAAGAAGGAACACGACCTCTGGACATCGGTAGATTTGCTACGCTTGACTGATTCCACGCAACGGCCGGCTTTAGATTTGCAGACAGCTCAGCTCTACGGCGAATCGGACAATAATACTGCACACAAAAGTTGTCAGGAATCACTCTTAGGCCACGTTCAGACTGCAGGGCTTAAGGCTCAATTCGGATGTTTTTGTGAAATCCGATGTTTTTGCGAGGTCGTTCACATTTCCAATTAAATGCGACTTGTATGTGAACTACAGTGTGAACATTAAACGGCCCAAAAGTGTCCCACATGTGCACTGGAGACACGACGACGTCCTCCAGTGCACATGCAGCAACGTCAACAAAGGCTACGTTCAGACTGCAGCCTCAAGTGACCCAAATCTGACTTTTTTGGTCCCTATGTGACCTGTATCTGATCTTTTAATGACAGTCTGAATGACACAGATCTGATTTTTTCAAATGTGACCCAGGACACTTGGATATGTGCTCCTGAAACCGATACATATCTGATCTTTTGACATGTGACTTGAGTCTGAACGGCCAAAGTGCATTCATCCACCTACACGTTATCAACAAGACACAAACGTCACTATTCTGCGCTGAAGTAGGCGAAAATTGTTAATGAACTCCGTGTGACTGAAGTGAAGCACATCACCACTCACCACTCTTGGCTCCGTCTCCACATCCACACGTTCCTTTCAACGGACGTCGCTGCCGCTGTCCCACAAAACACCACGACCAAAAACCTCGTCCTTCTCCTTCTCAATCTCCTCCTTAAAACAAGTAAGTTGTTCATGTTCTGGCTCCGGTACGAGAGGAACTTTAAAATCTCCAGGTGCTCAATGCTGCGTCCATGTTTGGACAACTTCCGTAAACACAGAGCACGCTCGCTGCGGTTGACGTCGTCGTGTCTCCAGTGCACATGGCGGGACACTTTTGGGCCGTTTAATGTTCACACTGGAGTCACATACAA